TAATAATTTTTAAAATTGTATTAAGTTTTTCTGCATTTTTATTAGATAATTAGATTACACTGCAGCTAAAAAATTGGTGCCTATATAAAAAATATGTTGGCTTTAGGTGAAATCTACTATATAATTAAAAAAAAGAACTTGAAGCAATTAATAAAAAATATCTTTAGATTTGGATACATCTTTTCAATCTCAAAATTCTTTTTTAGATGCTAATACATCTCTGCTACCTCAAAATTCTAATACTATAAAAATAATTTTACTTGCTAAAAATAATAGTTATCTAAGAAAAAGAAACAATAATACTAATATAGCTTGTTGTAGTTTTGTTCATTATTTTTATAAAAAAGATTTCATTTTAAAAACTGCTTAATGTAAAATTTGTATTGAAAAGCTTAAAAATATGAACATTGAAGCATATATTTATCAAACTCATAGTTCAACTACCAATTTGCGTAATCATTTGAAAATTTATAGAAGTTAACAATTTACTTGTTTTATATTAATGTATATTTATAAAATTTAATCTTATATTAATTTATAATAGTCGCAACAAGTTGATATTCAAGAAACAAGTGATTTTCTCTCAATTAGCACTTATAAACAAATAAGAATTACTCATCATTTAGTTACTTTTATTATTTGTGATATTTAGCCACTTCTTATTTTAAAATATTTGTTATTTAGAGCATTGATATATGAATATGTGCCAAGTTATTCTTTTCTATGTTACAAAACCATAAAAAATATTATTTTTGATTCTTATATATAGACTCATAATCAGATGATCGAATTAATTAGAAATACTACGCAAACTATTAATCTAACAACAAACCTTTAGACAGCCAAAAGTAACCACAGATATCTTAGAATTATAGCAACTTGGCTTGATAATAATTTTAAGTTATATGAAGCACTTTTATCTTGTCATTATCTTCCCTATTTACATACTGGCAAAATGATTAAAGATAAATTAATAAAAGTTATTCAGAACTAGAATTTAAAAATAAAATATTTACTATTGCTACTAACAACAGATCTAATATAGTTAAAGCTTATTATTTGTTAGAAAAAAAATTTAGATCAGTTAAACATTTGTTCTGCACTGCACATACACTTTAACTTTCTGTTCAATCTGAAATTAAACAAATAACAGCAATTCATAAGTGGCATAAAAATATACAAACTTTTTTTCACAGTCTCAAACAAGCTCAATGACTTTGTAAAGTACAAAAAAATATTATACAATATCAAGATAATTTTATAGCAAATAAAAATAATTACTCAAACCTATTAGAGACTTTAACTGATTGTAAAACTCAGTAAAATAGTTCATATCTTGTATAGAAAAGAATTGTAAATTTAGATGATGCAATTAGAAGTATTACTGCTACTCTTTGTTTATCACCAAATTCACAAGTTTGTAATAAAAATAAATATCTTAATAAATTACGTCTTAGTTTTGAAGAACTTAAGTAAATTATTTTAATTATTATTAGAGGGTTTTATAATTAATAATTTGATATCTGATTTCAGACAAAATAAGTGACGTATTTATTTCAAAATATGTGATATATAAATACTTATTTACTTAATTATTTACTGGTAAATATTTTTAAAAAAAATAGAATAAAGACTTTAAATTCTCACTTATTTTCAAAATATATTAATTATGAAACCTCTTATTATTATATGACAGAGTTAAACCCACATTGTAAATTAGTAAATTTAAGTTATGTTTTTTATTATACAAAGTAGATTTTATTCTCATGTGATCTATATAGCAGATTTTACTAATTCAAGAGCAGGTTTTATTTGAATATTTATTAAATATTTATTAAATATTTGTTTTTTTTTTAGTTTTATTAAAAGTATAATAAAACTTTTAGCACTATTTGAGCAAATAACTTGAAAAGTTTCAGGTGCAAAATATCCTACTATTAATTTAATCTATTCTTATATATATTTGTTAAAACAAACCTTTTACCAACTGGTAATAATACAATAGAAAGCTAACTTAAATTTAATCTATAGTCTAGTTTTATCAGAAGATACTGATGAAATTAATAATATTGATAGCAGTACAGATAGTAGTGCTAAGGATTCAGCATCTAGCTCTAGTACCTATCATTACTTAAAAAAAAACCTCTAGTAAAATTTATAAAAATATTAAAAATAAAGCTTGTCAAGGTCGTAGACGTAAGTATAAATATGTATATAGACGTAAACGTGAACGTGAACATGGATGTAAAGATATTAATTATATTCATAATAATCAATATAAAAATGAAATTAATAATAATTTTGTTAATTTAATTGATAAGTTTCATGCTGTAATCTATCATTTTTTTAATGAATTGTGAAATATTTCAGATGATATAGCACTTTAGCTACAATTTTGAATCCTCATCTTAAGGGTCTTCGATTTGTTAATCAAAATAAATATATTAATATTCAAGAAAAGCTTCAAAGTAAATATAAAGAACGAAAAAGTTATAACTTGATACCAATAACACAAGAAGTATCAATTAATCAAGATGATGATTATGATATATTTGCTAATATGTAGATATCAGATAAAAGATAACTCAAGCTGAAAGTAATAAAGTTTCTCAATATCTAAGTCTTTCAGAGGTATTAGAAGATGAAAATTTACTAGTTTGGTGGAATAGTTATAAAAAAACCTTTTTGATTTTATTATTTTTAGCTTGTAACTATCTTGATATTCCTGCAACATTAGTTTCAAGTGAAAGGTTGTTTTTTGATGCTAGTGCTTATATTCAGCTTGTCGAACTAACTTATGTCTAGATTTGGTAAATCATATGCTTTTTCTAAAAAAAATATTGAATATGTTGATAATATTTTTCTACCTATTTCTGAATAAGATTATATATTAGCTTTATAAATTTATGAATTTGTAATTAGTTATAGGTTTAAAAAATTTTCTTAAATATTCTCTAAAATATAATATTATCTTTTATCTTATTAATATACTAAAATTATAGAGGTTCATATAGTGTAATATTTAAATTACTCTATATAAATAATTTTTTAAATTGTATAACTCATTTGCTATATACCATTAGATATTCATATAATACCTATATATGTATATATATATATACTACAAGAATCTTATCAAATTTTGTAATATATTTGCTATCTATATATTCTGGTATTACTATTGTCATGTAAATTTTTTGTTAACCATGCACTTTTTTTTTTTTATTTTAGTATAATTTTATATTTTCTATTTTGTACTCTATATAACATATTTTTATTATTATATTTTAGTTATTCTTATAGATGCAAAATTATTCAATAATAAAATCATCAACAAGATTGAATTTTTTCTTGAGTTGAGTTTTACTGTATTTCAGTAAACGCTCATGATATTAAATAAATCACCAAACTTAGTAGCAGAAAAATGGTTGTCCAAGAAAGTTAATGACCTCTAAGAATAGAAGATGTTTATTATTATTAGAATATTGTAAAATAGGTATTATTGAAGAAGATATTTAACAGGAAAACAAAGTAATTTGTTGTAAAGAAAGATAGATGAAAGAGTTTTATAAAAGGTATAAAATAAATAACAGATAAAAGAATAGTCTAACAATTACATAGTATATTAATTTATATATATCAAGTCATATATTTAAAGGCTTAATTTTTGACCTTTAATAAAGTTTTTCTAGACTTCAATCTCTTATATATTTGAAAATTTACATTTATAAAATTATCAAATTCTCACTATTATCATATTGTTATATTGTTATGTTATCATAAATATATCTTTATAGCATTGTTTTTAATTATTTATCATAAAGACACCTTCACAGTCCTATTGAATTTCTTATTTTGGCATTATTTAAATAATACCTATTAACTATCATTAGTAATCTTAAAATTACTTAAAAGTTCTTTAAATACCCTATATTATTAGACTTGCAGTAATTAATTAGACTATACTGATTGATTTATTTTCATCTCTTGATCAATCTATATTCTATAAGTATTGATGTCCTAATAGCTACTATTAATTAATCTAATATACTTATCATTCACTATCACTGATCTAACCTCAATCCCACTCTGGGATATACTTACAAAAACCAACTTCAATGCCAAGGCCTTGACAATTACTCTAACGAGTAATAATCAGATAATAAATAACAACAACCA